AGACAGACAGACAGACAGACAGACATAGACACCACCATAAACTTTCCAATGTATATATTTTATTCGGAAGTGTTGTACACTGTAAAATATTTTATGAATATATAAAGTATAAATAATAATTTTATTTGAAATTCTATGTGTCGTCGAGACGTAAGGATAGATAGATAGATAGATAGATAGATAGATAGATAGATAGATTGAGATAGATATATAGATACATACAAACATACATGCATGCATACGAAAAGATTTAGATAGATAGATAGATAGATAGATAGATAGATAGATAATGGGAATGTACATGCGACAGAAATTTGTTTGCAACATCAATTTATTTTTTTGTGTGGACGCTGAATAAACTATTACTCTCTGTGTATAATATGTGCGTGCGCGCCCGCGTGTCTGTGTGTGTGTGTGTGTGTGTGTGTGTGTGTGTGTGTGTAACATTTCAGATAAAACTCAAATATACCTGTAAAAAGACAATATGAATAAGCATATTGTTTACATATATATATATATATATATATATATATATATATATATAGAGAGAGAGAGAGAGAGAGAGAGAGAGAGAGATAGATAGATAGATAGATAGATAGATAGATAGATAGATAGATAGATAGATAATCTTATTATGATTATACTTGTCCGGAAAAAAACCCTGACGATATGCGTAGGTGAAACCTAGGTAGGTTTGCCTGGCTCTTTAGCTTCATAGATAGATAGATAGATAGATAGATAGATAGATAGATAGATAGATAGATAGATGTATATATTGGATGCATGTGCAGATTCGTGTGCGAGGATGTAATCATAAAATTCAGCGTACATTTATATCTCTGTTTTTATTCATTATATACATATTTGTCTACAGATATGTATGCATCTATCTCCCGTATATAGAAATGTTTTTTATTATATATACATTTCGAAAATACTTAATTACATATAGACTCATATATACATACATACACACATATCTCACCCTGTATGTAAGCACACACACACACATATATATATATATATGTGTGTGTGTGTGTGTTTGTATGTGTGTGTGTGTGTGTGTGGATCTCGATATATAACCACATATGTCTGCTCACATTTTATGTTTTCCTGGCCACAAACCATTCATGACGTCATAACACTTAAAGCTTCTTGCATTTTTGCTTTCATTTTTTGAAACGACTCTTGTTTTATTCTCTTCTTTGTCCTTTTTTATTGTTTTTTTTTTCTATTGTCATTTTGTTCTCTCTCTCTCTCCATCCATTCTTGCTCGTCGCTTATACGAGTGTATTTTTGATATGTTTATTTAATTTAATATTTATTCCTATGCCTTTATCTCTTTTCGCGTGCACATTTTTTTTTCATCCGTCCGTTGAAGTATATCTGCATATAAATGGATTTCGTATCACCGTCCGGAGTGTGCAACCATATATCATTCTCGTTTTACTCGTCTGCGAGGGAATGCGATAGTCACGTGAGGCGAAAAGGGCGGGAAGGCCTGATAAGAGGCGGGAACGAACGACGCGGTCCGAAGAGATGGGCTGGGCTCCTAGAATTGTAGGCCTTGCGGGAATGCGATGATGTTGGGGTGTGGGTGGAGGTGAGAGGTTTAGGGATGGAGTCGGTTTGTTTGTGGTTATCAGGACGATATTTGCTGGTTTTTGAGAGATCTGGGCGAAAATGGTCCATTCGTTCCTCATTATTGAGTTTATATTTGGCCGAATTTAGACGTGGGTCAGATCTGAGCGATGACGTCCTCTAGAATGGGAGATGCAGATGGATAGACTCGGTAACATATACCTACATCTGTTACATATATATATATATATATATATATATATATATATATATATATATATATATATATATATATATATATATATACACGCATGTTTCCTTAAATATGACGAATATAGAAAGCATTCGGAAAAACCAACAATAAAAAAGAATTGTTCCGCGTAGTCCTCAAAAAAATTATCTGAGAAATAATAGTCCTTGTTCGTCATATTTAACGAAATAAGCATAAAAGAAAGACTGCTGTGCAAATATACCATATCTATCTATCTATCTATCTATCTATCTATCGATGTAATGGTTAGCAAGTTTGTCTCGCTAGAACAATTACGACTGAGTAGTGAGTTCGATATTCACTGGGTGATCTCTACTTTTGGCTTTATGCCTCATCTAAGCTATGCTTGGAAAATCTCTCTCGCCTCTCTCTCACTCTCTCTCACTATCTCTCTCTCTCTCTCTATATATATATATATATATATATATATATATATATATATATATATATATAGTGATTTTCGCCGTATTTATACATATTTCTTTAAAAGAAATATTTATCAACATGGCGATTTTCTCTCGCTCTTCAATAATGACATCAATACGATTGTCCGCAAATATGAAAGAATCTTATCGAAAATAAGTAAACAGAAACATGTCTAAACTATACAACGAACTATGTCTTAATGAAAACATGCTGCCGAAACATACGCATTATATATATATATATATATATATATATATATATATATATATATATATTTTTAAAAATATGATTCCATCGCTACATAAGAGTTCTAATTTTTTAAAACAGAAGCTAAAAACTTCAATTTAATTATAAAAATTAAATTGAATTAAAGTACACAGCACTGTTTCATCCTCAAGCGAATTTTGGAATCAAAGGTTTTCCAAAATTCGCTTGAGGATGAAACAGAGCTGGGTACTTTAATTCAATTTAATTTTTATAATTAAACTAAAGTTTTTTAGCTTCTGTTTTTAAAACATTAGAACTCTTATGTAACGATGGAATCATATTTTTCAAAAAATAATTATAATTTAGGCTCTACGTATGTATTGAGCACTGTTTTTTTTTTTTTTAAATAAAACAAAAATACTAAAGAACTTTGGATTATTAACCTAACGGTTCTTTCCTATGTTTCTATATTTTACACACACACACACACACACACACACACACACACACACACATATATACATATATATATATATATATATATATATATAAATCTGAACGAACTCAAAAGCATAAATCAAATATGAATTGAAAATAATTTGCTTTACCACATTAAATAAAAATAATAAATCAAATAAAATAAGCTTAAAAAAACATTAAGGAATAGGCAATAATGCGAAATAATTTTAAAAAATAATATTAAGCGACAAAATATATTCCAATAAAAATTTCTGTCCGGCCCACCATCTTAACACATGGACACTAATTATCTAATTAATTCGTGAAGCAAGTGACAGAAAAATATCAGTTGGTGTTAATTGACTTACAATGCAACGAATTTTTTAAATCAATTTCATTCCGAATCCACTGTTGTCTTCTACAAGGAATATATTTTGTCGAGCGGAAAATATTAATGTCTATTGAATAATGTGAAAATAATGATATCATTATTTAGAAGTATGTATGCTTGTTGTTGTGACCCAGTAAATAGTTAAAGAAATAACAAAACAAGTATTAACAGATATATCATATATTAAACAGTAAGTATAACAGAAGAGTATTACGCGACTAGTGAGTGTGTGTCGGTTGACCCAGCGTTCAATCTATTCGACTGTTAATATATAACAGCCCCCCGCTACGAGGGATGTATGTAGCAGAAGGCAGAGTTTACCATGGGTTCTCCGAGCCCGTAGACTCGCCCAAAAATGTTCCCGTAGAACACGCATAAACGGGTCCGGGCCTGTCTACCTCCCCGGACGAAACTTTGCCCTTCGGCACAGCCTCGTCCGGGTTCCTCTCTGCCCAAAGGCAGAGAATTCGACAGCAGTTGTGAACAGTCACAGCCCGGTAGAACAATCTATTCAACTGTTATATTTAACAGCCCCCACCCCCACGAGGGATTTATGTGGCACAAGGCCAGGTTTACCATGTGTTTTCCCAGCCCTTAGGCTCGGCCAAAAATATTCCCTTAGAACCCGCATAAACGGGTTCAGGGACAGTCTACCTCCCCGGACGATACTTTGCTCTTCCCGACTGTTAATATTTAACAGAACGAAGGATATATGTGGCACAAGGCCGAGTTTACAGTGGGTTTCCCGAGTCCTTAACCTTGGCCAAAAATATTCCCTTAGAACCCGCATAAACGGGTTCAGAATCTGTCTACCTCCCCGGATGAAACTTTGCCCTTCGCGACTGGTCCCCCAAGGCCTTCTCTCCTACTAATCTTATAGTAGGCGGATGAGTCCAACATAGACTCTTTAGAGGGAGGACACCACTTCGGCCTTTTGCCACATCCTACCCCGTGGAGAGGTTGGTAATTATTACTAAGCGGAGTTGAGGAGAATTAGCATTAGGTCTTAGACGCGCGAAGCTCTTAGTGCTTGTCTGACTCTCTGCCTTCTGGCAGAGAGGAACCCAAACGATGCTATGCCAAAGGGCAGTGCCTCGTCTGGGTTGGGGGTAGACAAACCTGACCCCTTTATTACGGAGTCTACGGGGAATTTTTGCCCGGGCCTACGGGCTTGGAAAAAACCTATGTTAAACCGGCCTTATGCCACATCCCGCTCTATGATTCTTTGCCACTTTTGTAATTCCAACGAATACTTGTTGTCACTTTTGTAATGCTCGTTGTAGTAGAGACTTTGTAACCGCAGTTACAACTATAGTAACACCGTTGAACAATACAAGTGTCTGATGCCTTCAAATAACATTCGCACTAATAGTACTTGCTCGATAATACTCGCTCGAATAGTAATCCGTATAGTGATTTCTAATAGAGAAATAGTATAGTAAATAGTATAGAGAATAGCGATCCGTATAGTAACAGAGGATAGAGTAGAAATGGTGATCGGTATAGTAATAGAGGATAGGCTAGAAATGGCGATCGTTAGTTGCCAGCTACTTCCTACATATATGCATTTCCTCTATGGTCACGTGGTCTACTTAAGTCAATAATGGGATCGCCTGTGTTTGCCCACTGATTGTCGTTATTCATTACATAACCCGTACATACAAGCTTACGGCATCTGGCATTGCCAAGCGGTCACCCATCTAGTTACTGACTAGGCACGAATTTGCTTAACTTCGGTGATCGTACAAGAAGCAGTATTTCAATGGGATATGGACGTAAGACTTTTGATAGGGAAAAAGGAAAGGAACAGAGGAAAGCTACGCATAACATACTTAATGAGTAATTGGATGGCGGAAGAGAGGTTAGGAGAAATAAGGAAAATTAGGAGAGCCATGATCGCCAACGTCCTGAAGGGACACGGAGCATAAAGAAGATGTTAACAATGAGGAAAAGGAATGCTGCCTTTTTTTCAGACGCATAATGAAGAAAGAATGTTTGGAGAATTTAATACACACAGATCAAATCGAAAATAAGCGAAACAAGATGAAAACAACGAGTAACATATTTCATGGGTTTGAGTGAATGAATGACAAAACAAAGACCAAAAAAACAAAGAATAAAGAAAGCCTTTTAGAGCAACAGAATAAAAGAAGTTGTGGAGAATCATTATCGCCTATGTCCTGAAATGATATGGCTGTTGAATGGAAAAGTAATTCACTTCTCTCTCAGGGCAAAACTAATGTGGTTCTGTTGCAGAGAAAGCTAATATTATATTTGTCAAATGAATAATATTTACCAGCATTCTTTTTAAAAACAATACGGATTGAATTCGCTGTAAACTTTTTCACACATGAGTGCTTAAATATCAAATGGAATCAAATTTCTCCGATATCTTGTATATTCTTTGTGGGTGGATTGGCGATAAGTTAATTAAGATACCCATTTCTTCTCTAATTAAGATTTTTTTTTACTGCATCTTATGAAAAGCTAGATAATCTACAACCTGATTTAACCAGTTAGGAAAGTACGATTCATGCCTTTCCTATGGGTATTACTGAACATACGACTGGAATCTCAAGTTCGCAGAGATCCATTTTCAGAACTGTCACTCGTTAGACCAGCTCGCAATATGCATGGAAATTATTGCATGTAGATATGTTTTATATTTACTCAGCATCCAAAAAATCTGTATATATATATATATATATATATATATATATATATATATATATATATATATATATGTGTGTGTGTGTGTGTGTGTGTGTTCAAATGTCCGGCATCTATGTTCATTCATTTGAATGTAGCAGCGAGGCCAAGAATTATTCATGAAAAGATTTGAATTGGCTAATAAGAAATTCTTGCTGTCGGTATAGATAAAATTCTCATTTAGCATGAACAAGTCAACGTGAAATATTTCTCTCAACATATATATATATATATATATATATATATATATATATATATATATATATATATATATATATGGGTGTGTGTGTGTGTGTGTATGCCTGCGCAATGTGTGTGTGTATGAATATACATATATATATATATGCATATGTGTGTATGTGCATTTATACAAATATATAGAGAGAGATAGAGAGAAACGTATATATATATGTGTGTGTATAGATAGGTAGATAGAGGGAGAAAGAAAAAGAAAAGTGATTTTTAATGGCAGTTATTTATGTATACATGAATATATATACCTGTGTTTCTGCGTATTATATGTACACACGCATATATATATATATATATATATATATATACAGAGAGAGAGAGAGAGAGAGAGAGAGAGAGGTTAACTCAATTAGTTTGTAGCCGGACAGGCCGTTAGTAAATGAAATTGATCTGAAATTTTCAGTCTATAATGTTCAAATGATGTGATGAAAATTCACAACAAATTAAAGTGGCTTATGACAGAAAGAAATTATGTGGGCAGGTAAACATTCTCTTCTCTCATCATTAGGCTACAGACTTCTTAATTTACATACATACATGCATATATATATATATATATATATATATATATATATATATATATATATACTGATGTGTATACTTGCATTGATTTTATTATATAAGTATGTGTGCATGCGTGTGGTCGAAAACCTTATACGCTATCAATGCATCGATATACATCGGTATATATATATATATATATATATATATATATATATATATATATATATATATATATATATGGTTGTTTACTCAATCTTGTCTTATGCACATATTTTGATAGTATCGATGTTCAACCCATAAGATCGATAACTTGCTGTTCATATCTAGCAGTATGTATTTGTTTGTATGTATTTTTTATCTACAAAAAAACTACCTTCATATATATATATATATATATATATATATATATATATATATATATATATATATACTTCGAGATAGATATGGGGATACATTATTTATTTTGCATTGATTCCCGTTACTTTCTAAATACTGTGCTTTTTCAGCGATTTTTATCTTTCTCCTTCTTCCTCCATTCTCTCAATCACGCCCTTCAACATAATTTCACCGTCTACCTGCGTGTCTGTCCGTTTATCTTTCTGTCTGTTTTTAACTTTGCAGCACACCTCCAAATCGCACCGTTCCCCACGATAAATATGCTCTGAAGTAGAGCCTCTCTCTTTAGACCTGCAAGCGGCCTTGTGGGTGATGAATTATTTTCCAACCTGCAACCATTTTCCCACAGGCGAAACGTTGCTAGCCTATCGCTTAATCTATCGCTATTAATACGTCAAATGACCAGACGAGCTTCATTCCTCAGTTCCATCCGTTCCGATTTTTACAGGACTTGTCATACCATGTACACGGTATCAAATCATTCTCATTCCATTCATATTCCATTTGTAAGGAGGAAGTTCCACTCAGGAATCTTATTCGCCAGAATTATCACTTTGTGCTTCCGGGAGCTCTACAATTATAACAGCTTCTTGTTTAGGGGCAACCGATATCTATTCTACATGCCATCATAATATGAACCTCTCCCTCCACGCTTTCCACTCTTACATCAATCTCATTCAGTAATCCTGTACCTTGAGTGGCTCTTGGGGCTTGCATTGGGTGAACAATAGTAAAAATATGTATATATACAATTTGCTTTTTTCCATGCAACTAACCCCATGATTTTAAAAAAAAGCATTTTCTGTAAATTAAATGAAACAACCGCTTTAGTTTCCTTTCTTTCACCATAAGGTCAGTTTTAGATCCTCTAGAACGACAAGTTGTAATCGATTTCTATTTTTTCCCCAAATTAGGTTATTTGCAGTAGTGTGCAGTAATATTAATCTATCTTCGGAGTGTATGATGAAATTTGTTTGGCCATGAAAAATATTGCGTCATCCATGATTGCATCATATTTTTATCCCGCTATTGTCTCGACTGTCGATTAGTTGTCCTATGGCCATTGTCTGCGATGGAGGTTACTCCAGGGCTGCATAAGAAAATTGTAACGCTGCACGAACACACTGGCACCAGTGAGCAAATCAAAATGCTAACGATTATTATGTAAATATTAACTCAGTGTGGTATAGATTATCTCCCCATATACGTATTCGGTACTTAAGTACGTCCAGTAGAACATAGTCCAAGATTAGCCTTGACCCCCCCCCCCAACTACTGCGCAAGGTTCTGACACAGGGTCGGTTTTGAACGTGGGGACCTGAGTGTTTCCGCCCAGACATTATTGTCTCGACTGTCGATTAGTGGTCCTATGGCCATTGTCTGCGATGGAGGTTATTCCAGGGCTGCATGAAAATAATTCTTTTTATAGAAATTTTAATAAATTCTGTTTTAATAAACAGTATTAAATAACATTTACCATACGAATGTGAATGTCTAGAAAATATTCGTCCTTTGCATCGAACCCATCCTATACGGAACCGTCATTTACGTCATTTGGCCGAGACGGTAAGGCACGTCAGCGTAAATGACGGTTCCGTATAGGATGCAGGTTCGAATCCTGTCAAAGGACGAATATTTTCTATGAAAATTTCGGACATTCAGGCCGGTAAATGTTATTTAATACTGTTTATTATAAATAGAGCATTTACTTAAATACTTGTATCTAAAAAAAGAACGTTAAACATAAAAAATGTCTTTTAATATATATATATATATATATATATATATATATATATATATATATATATATATATATAATATAATATAATATAATATTTAACACCAATTAGCTAATTGCCGAATTTATATTTGTATTAATTATATATATACGGATAGCTAGCTAGCTACCTAGCTAGATAGATAGATAGAGAGATCGAGTATGGAGAGGAATCCAACAAAATGATAGGATAAAGAACAAGTAAGAAATTAATCTAACATGTTTCACTTTATGTTGTGAGACCGTAACATACCTAGAACATGGACTCTTCCAGGACTATATAAAGTATGCGATATAACACTCTAGGAGAAGAGGAGGAAAGAAAGAGAGAGAGAGAGTATTCTAATACCGTAGTATCAGCCGCGTACGCCTACCAATATTGGACACTAGCACATAGTAAGCTCCGCTTACACTTACACTATCTTTGTAACCTTTTTGTTTAATATCTCTTTCTTACCTCCAATCCGTGTTCCGTGTTTTCCTTCCGTGGTCCCCGACTTTGGGCCCATATCACTTTATTAAAGCTTCATCAGTGATGAAGATAGAAAATTTGTATCTTTATCTCTGACCTCTGACTAAACTTCAATAAAGGGAATTATGTTAGATTAAGATCTGTTTCCTACTTGTTCTCTATATATATATATATATATATATATATGTTCCTATAGGATTTTATGTTTGGGAGTTATTTGTAAGTTCAAATGTATTTTGCACTTAATTTGTTTGTATAACATCATCTGACATCCATAAAACATGATCATGTGTTCATGTCATTAGATTTAACAAGAATAGACATCAGGAGTCGAAACTCAGTTGACATATTGCTGCTATAAATATAAGTATAGCTGAAAAGCTAACCCACATTGGGTAATATTTACACTCGAAAGACTCAAGATTAAATGTAACGTTTGTGGTTTGCCTGTGTTTCTGTGTGTGTCTTTGTATGTATGCAATAAAAAATCAATAAATAAAAAGAAATGTGTTTCTGGGACAAGATCTAAGAAACGCGCTTGAAGAATATAAAAAAAGAACCGTATTTATTAATATCAAATTTTACGTAACATTTGCACACGCACACACACGCGTGCGGACAGACAACCTGGTACTACTTAAATACACCGTTCCACTCTTAGAAAATTG